AGAGGTGGGTTCCTACCAGTTTGCACCTATTCGGTAGAACCGGTTCGTCAAATCTACCAAACCAGTTAGAAGAGGTTCCACCAGTGGACCTGGAAAGCAGGCCACACCTACAGAAGAGGTTCCAAAATTTTTTGAAACCCACCACTGATTTAAATGCACCCCTATGCATCACAATGGTCTGGGCCTCCACTGTGGTGCCATCTACTGGCAATTGCTGGTATGCCTGCATGAGATCCACTTTTGCAAATACTTTTCCCGGGCCAAGGGAGTGAAGTAAATACTGGACAATGGGTACCAGATAAGTGCTCTGTTGTACAGCCTCATTGATGGTGCACTTGTAGTCCATGCAGATGCAGACAGACCTGTCAGGCTTGATCAGAGTCACTATAGGGATCTCCCAGCGTGCGTGATCAACCAGCTCCAAAATCCACTGGCCAATTAGTTTGTCTAATTCAAGGTCAGTTTTTGGACGAAGGGCAAAAGGGACTTTAATTTAATGGGGGCAACATTGGGGTCCAAATTGAAGGTGATTGGGGTCCACACATACTACCCTAGATCGGTGCCAAAGACGTTAGCTCCGCCGACCACAGTTACAGGAAGCAAGCTGTCAAAGTTTTTAAATTGCACCTGGAAGGTGCCTTGTCCCAAAACGGGGATTCGGTTCCCCTGGTAGTCTCTGAGGCGCAGGTTTGGAACCCTCAGCTTGTGCTTCCTGGCATTAGGGACGGCCTTCTTCAGCGTGGCCCAGGACATGATGATCAATGATGAGCTGGTGTCAATCTTCATGCTGCATGGAGATCCTTCAAGTAGGATGGAGAGCCGCAGCTTTTTGTACTAGGGGTGCTCGCTTGCCTGATGGTTGTCTGGAACATGTCGTTGGCATCTGTTTTTTCTGCTCTCTGCTGCGGCTTCCATTGCTCTCGCCAGGGTAGGCGTGGTCTTGCAGTCTGCAAAGCCTGAGGTTTCAATGGTGTTGTGGCTGGAAACTCGGTCCTGCAGACTCTTGCGATGTGCCCCTTGCAATCGCAGCGTTGGCAGATTGCGTTTCGGAAATGGCAGGCAGATCACTGATGGTTGCCTCCACAGCCGGTACAAGGTGGGAAATGGGGTTCAAATTCTCATGCTGTTTTCCGCTTCTCCATGCACATGCGGCAAACCTCGTCCTCACTGTCAGAGAGATCTCACTCCGCAGTCTCCCGATGCATCTGTTCTGTGTGGGGCTGTTCTGCCACTGCAATGTTTTTGTCAACTTGGTCGAAGACTCTGTCCTATTTGTAGTGTGAGATTGGTCTTTGCCAGCAACCTTCGTCGAACAACAGTTGATCTAAATTGTGAAACTCGCAATATGCTGCGGCCTTACACAGTACAGCAACATATTGGTTGATAGTTTCACCTTCCTTTTGGTTACAGAGGTTGAATTTGTGCCTCCACACATATTTTGACGGTTTGGGAGCGTAGTGTGTCCTCAAAGTCCGTTGAAGCACCGACCAAGCGACTGATTGTACTGGCATTAGCTCGGATAGGTCCTTGGCGGTATCGAATACCTTTAGCTCACAGTAGCTCAGGAACATAGCTCTTTTGTGGCCTTCAGACAGGCCAAGAAGGTCATTAGCTTCCAGGAAATATTCAAACCTCATCATATACCCAGTGTTCAGTGGCTGGGTCATACGGAGCTGGTGAGGCATGCATTGTCATCTTTGTTCAATCAAGGCAGATTTGAATTTGCCACTTAAAGATGGTCATTCGATGCCGCGCTTAGCTCCAGACTGGATTGTTTTGCTGGATTGTCAGTTAGTTCTTTTTGTGCCTAGTTGACTTTCAATCCCACCTTCGTCGCCAGTGTTAGATTGGGTGAATGGAAGAAGCAGACTCAGGATAACAATAATAACAGCTCTTTATTAGTGCAAACTATGTACAATCCAGCAATCTTCTGTTTGACAGCATTCCCTTTTATAGGGTGCTGTCAAATCTCTTAGCCAATCACCACTGAGTATTTTCCTGTCAGATTGGAGGACCTTGGTGGAACCTACCATACTGGTTGTCAGTATGTAACAAGAACCATTTTGTCCTATACCCGTGATGGTGAACCTATGGCTTGCGTACCAGAGGTGGCACACAGAGCCCTCTCTGTTGGCATGCACGCCAATGCCCTAGGTCAGATCTCTGTGGCGTTTCTTTCATGAGCTTCTGTTTTCCTGCAAACCATAAAACAGAAACTCACAAAAGAAAAAGATCTTATCTCTTGCTGCACTGCCGGTGTTGGAATGCTCCACTTGCCACCAGCCAGCTAGTCTTCAGGTCTCTGGTGCTTGCACACATGTCTGTGCATGTGCATATTTGTGCATGTTGGTGCATGGACACACATATGTCCATGAATGCGCATTTGTGTGCACATGCACACGTTTCAGTTTGGGCCTGTATGCATGCACAGTTTGGGGACTCGTTGTCTAAAAGGTTTGCCATCATTGTCCTATACCATTCTGGAAAAAATGGTTTTCTAATCTATTCTTGAAAATCTCCAGTGATGGAGCACCCACAACTTCTGGAGGCAAACTGTTCCAATGATTAATTGTTCTCACTGTCAGGAAATCTCCCCTTCGCTCCAGTTTGGACCTCTCTTTAATAATCTTCTATACCTTGTCCTATACTCAGGTTCTTCAGAGAATAGGTCAATCCCCTCTTCTCTGTGACAACCCCTCAAGTATTGGAAGACTGCTATCATGTCGCTCCTAGTGTTCCTCTTTGTAAGACTATTTTTTTCCTTTTGTGTAAAGACAGATGGAAAGAATGAATTAAGCAGTTCCGCTTTCTCCCTGCTACCCATCATCTCCTTGTCATCTCCTATTAGCTGATCAACCTTTCCTTGATTTTTTTCTTGTTTTTTACAGGTTGAAAGAAACATTTTAAAGTTATTTTTGGCATTTGTTGCAAGTTTTATTCATTTTCTGACTTTGCAAACCTTGCAGATTGGGCTAATTGGTGATATTCTGTTTTAAATATATAAATGCCTTTTCATTTTTAAATGTTTTCCTTTTAAGTTCTTTAGACAACCATGCTGGTTTCATCTAGCTGTCTCTTATTTTTTCTTTCTCAGTGGTATTGTGCTAGACTGGGCTTTCATAATTTCATTTTTCAGAGTTTCCCAAGCTTCTTGAGTTAGTTTCCCCGTTAGGATTTCCATCTTAGATTCCTTCTTAAGTTCTAAGTTTGTTGAAGTTAGCTCTCTTAAGTCTAAGACAGTAGTTTGACTTTGTTCAATTACTTGTGCCTGCACTGGGTTGAATTCCAATATGACATGGTCAGTCTCTCCCAAAGTTCCTGCAACTTCAACCCCTTATATTATTTCAACTCTGTTAGAAGATTGGTGTCTCTCCCCTATCAGATTTAGTGTAAAGTACTTTGGATAAGCCAAACCGGTTGTTTTCCAAACATATTTTTTCTATTTGCCCTTCACATAGGTAATTTAGACAATGGACTAGGAATCCAAAGTTCTTTCACTGACACCATTCTTTAAGCTTTTATTTCTAAAATTCTTCATTGCCACATTGGATGTTGACCTTCTATTGGAAAAACATCACCTATGTTCTTATCTCTTTCTGTTATAATTATTCTTTTTTTGTTATCACTTATTATTCTTTAGCCAAGAATCATAGGTTCTTTATTGAGTTGTCCCAGGTACGAACCAAAGTGTGAAAGAGAATCAGTGGGTAATAGTCAACTGGTATCAGGGAACTCTTCTTCATGTCCTTATCCCCCTAGCAGCAGTAATATAATTCTCCCACCCCATTATTATTCTTCGATTATCTGCCCCTGCATCTGCTCAATTAAAAGATAGTGGGTGGCAATAGCTTCAGGCTAGAGCAGTGTATTGCACATTATTTGGGGTAGGGAGGAATGGAGGGAGCCCTGTTTGTTATGAATCTTGATTTGTGTTTTTTTTTTAATCATTTGCAGATCCCAATGATAAAGTTAGAGGTGAGTATCTGATCATGTTGATATTTACTTCCATTATTCAAGATCTTTAATTTATTGTTTGCTAGATTGCTTGTTTCAAACATTTGTGAGCCATTTACTAATGCATGTCTAGTTAACTGCTTCCTTTCCAATATGCAAGGGACATCCTTCACCAGTTCTTAAAGACAAAGGGGTAATGGCAATTTAGTCTGGGAAATAAGCTTTTCCAGACAGAAGAGTTGTCATTTGGAATAATCATCTTCTGGGTCCCGATTCAGTGTACTGTATTCTCAGAGTGGAGTTATCTAGAATATCATCTCTCTGTTGGGTTACATAGAAGTAGATTCTACTTGGAAAAGGCAGCCTTGAGCTGCCTAGGGCTTTAGAGATTTCCCACATCTTGAACTGAGTCTTGAGGCATACTGCAACCAGTATAATTCCCGTACAAAATACATTATTCTACAACACTATCTAACACCAGTATGCAGTTGCATTCTATGCCCTCTGTAGCTTCTAAGTTATGCTCAAGTATAGACTCACATAAAATTATAGTAGTCTAAGTTAATTCAGGGCTGATTTCCACAGCTTCTGGCAAAGCTGCCCAAATCTTGGCAAGTCCTCCACTGCTGTTTCAGCAACAGTTTTGAGTCCAGATCAACCTTCAGATTATGTAGCATTACCCACCTACAATAACAAATGCCTCCGAGATATCACTCTATATAAGAGCTGTGGTGGGGCAGTGGTTAGAATGCAGTATTGCAGGCTAATTCTGCTGACTGCCAGAGGTTCAATCCTCAGCGGCTGAAGGTTGACTCTGCTTTCCATTCTTCTGAGGTCAGTAAAATGAGGAGCCAGATTGTTGGGGGCAATATGCTGATTCTGATTCTTAGAGTGGGCTACAAAGCACATGTGAAGAAGTATATAAGCCTAAGTGCTATTGTTATTGTGATATATATATATATATATATATATATATATATATATATATATATATATAT